GTGAGTAGTCTGTTTAGGTTTGAAGTTACGAGGGATAGCGAGATGCCTTTAAAAAAAATATTTTCTTTTTTTTTCTTCTTTTCTTCTCGTTTCTGTGGTATGGGATGGGTGAGTGTTTTTTAATCATTTTTTTCTTCTCTCTCGCTCTCTCTTCTCTCTCTCTTTCTCTCTCTCTCTCTCTCTCTCTCTCTCTCTCTCTCTCTCTCTCTCTCTCTCTCTCTCTCTCTCTCTCTCTCTCTCTCTCTCTTTTCTCTCTCTCTCTTTTCTCTCTCTCTTTTCTCTCTCTCTTTTCTCTCTCTCTTTTCTCTCTCTCTTTTCTCTCTCTCGCTTCTCTCTCGCTTCTCTCTCGCTTCTCTCTCGCTTCTCTCTCGCTTCTCTCTCGCTTCTCTCTCGCTTCTCTCTCGCTTCTCTCTCGCTTCTCTCTCGCTTCTCTCTCGCTTCACTCTCGCTTCTCTCTCGCTTCTCTCTCGCTTCACTCTCGCTCCTCTCTCGCTTCTCTCTCGCTCCTCTCTCGCTTCTCTCTCTCTCTCTCTCTCTCTCTCTCTCCTCTCCTCTCCTCTCCCTCTCCCTCTCCCTCTCCCTCTCCCTCTCCCTCTCCCTCTCCCTCTCTCTCTCTCCCTCTCCCTCTCTCCTCTCTCCTCTCCCTCTCCTCTCCTCTCCTCTCCCTCTCCCTCTCTCTCTCTCTCTCTCTCTCTCCCTCTCCCTCTCCCTCTCCCTCTCCCTCTCCCTCTCCCTCTCCCTCTCCCTCTCCCTCTCTCTCTCTCTCTCTCTCTCTCTCTCTCTCACACACACACACACACACACTCTCTCCCTCTCTCCCTCTCTCCCTCTCTCCCTCTCTCCTTCTCCCTCTCTGGTGGATGGGGAGGAGGTGACTGACTTAGCTTGTTACTCTCGTTTTATTTGTTTATTCATTTATGGCTTTATTGTTATTGACTCTGCTCCGGGACTTCGAGATTCCCACAGCGCCGTCGGCCCCGTCGCCTCCCTTGTGGCTGGAGATGTAATCGGTGTTGTCCCTTATTTAGGCTTTTCTTAAGCGGCTTCCCCGAGATAAGGGCGGGTGCGGGTGCGCTGCCAGGTCACGCTCCCTCTCCAGACGGCAGGGGGGAGGAGGAGGAGGGGAAGGGAAGGGGGAGAGGAAGGAGAGGAGGAGAGAAAGGAGGAGGAGGAGAGGGAGGAGGAGGAGGAGAGGGAAGAGGAGGAGGGAGAGATGGAACAAGATGAAGAGGACGTAGGGAGAGGAGCGAAAGATTAGAAAGGAGGGCGGGTGGACTCCCCTGCGTGCCAGAGGGCGTTGCTGATCCCCGGGGGCGGAGGTCCGCGCCGTCGGCAGGTGGCTTCTCGGGATGAACGGCGCGGCGGGATCGCTGCTGGGGAGGCCGAGGGCGTGGTGGAGAGGGGGGCAAAGTTGGAGAAAGATGGGGAGGATGGAGAGGGAGCAATGGGGAAGGAGGAAAGTGGAGATGGGGAGGTGTGGGAAGGTGGAGAAGGGGAGGTGAAGAAGGAGAGAGATGGTAGGAGGAGGAGGGAAAAGGGGGGTTAAGGGTGGAGAGATGTGGAGTGGGAGGGAGGGAGTGGGAGGTAAAGGAGGAATATGATGTGCAGGGGGGGGGGGGGAAGGGGAGAGTGTTAGGTGGGGGGAGAGCATGTTGATTGCTCTTTCGGCCACATTGTTGGTATTGCCATTAGGGGGATCTCGTTTTTCCTCGCGTTCTCTGCGTGGCTGCGGCGTCGTTCTCTCTCGGTCCTTCTTCTTGCGTGTCTTTCGCTTCTCTTGGCTTCTACTTGTTCTTGCCTTTGCGTTTACTCTTTGTCTTTGCGTTCCATCGGGTCTTTGTTTTCGAGGCTTCTTTCTTCATTTGCGTCGCAGCGATGCATAGAATTCGAACGCGTTCATTGCTTGGATATTCATAACTACGTGAGATTGTCGAAGAAAGAAAAAAAAAAAAAGATATATATACAAGGGCAGTGCAACACGAAATGGGCGGAGGAACAGACCCCTATTATTTTTTCTCCAAATCGGAAAATAACCGACCCCTCTCTGTCATTATCCTCACTCCATCGACATGTATGGCTCATGTTTACAAATGGCCTCGCGTCTCCTCGGCGGTCGAAGCGCAAGCTAAGGCGACGCCGCCGTCCGAGGGTCATTAGCGTCGCCCCGGGACCTCTGGAAGACGAAGATGCGAAGGGGAGGGAGAGAGGAGAGGAGGGAGGGAGGGTGAGAGGCAAGGAGTGATAGGAGGGAGAGGAAGGAGGGAGGGTTGGGAGGGTGAGAGGGAGGGAGTGATAGGAGGGAGAGGGAGGGAGAGGAAGGATTGGGGGAGTGATGGGAGGAGGGAAGGAAGGGCGGAAGGGAAAAAAAGGAAGGGCGGAAGTGAGAGTGTCTCTAGGAACAAGTAAGGGAAGAAATAAGGGAAGAGAGAAGAAGGGAGGAGGGAGGGAAGCAGGTGAAACAGCGAAGGAGGGATGGGAGGAAGCACGGCCTCGTCCCCTTGCCTCCACCTGGGCCTGGGAGAGTCATTCGAATTGAAACCTTTGAGCAGAAGAGGCATCACTTCGGCGTCTTCGACCGTCACCAGAGCGCGACGTTCGAGTGCATTGCCGTCGAGAAACAGATGTGCCAGCGAGTGAGGTGGACCAGAGGAACAGCAAGAGAGAGAAAATAAGTGGAAAATGAGGGTTGAGGGTCGAATGCTGTCGGGAAAGCGCGTCGAGGGATAGTTTTTTTTTCCACCTAAGGCAACGAGGTGCAACTTGGCTCATGCGTCCTCATGACACCCGAGGACGAGGCCAGAAGGAGAGGGTAAAGGAAGGGAGAGAGGAGATAAGAAGAAGGGGGACAGACCTAGAGGAACTAACAGACGAGAACGACATGGATAACGAATAAGAATGGGGAGACGATTGAAGGTAAAGAGGAGGAGGAAGAAAGGAGGGAAAGAGGAAAAGAATGAGGGGAAAGAGGGAGAGGGGTCGCGAGCCACCACAGGGCCAGGAAGCTCTCTGGGTTTTGGCTTTTGGCGCTCGATGAAGCCGAGATAAGGGGCGCTGTCAGTCTCGGGAAGCGGAGGCTGGGGTGGGAGGGGGGGGGGCGCAGGACGACGAAGGCCCTGGGGAAGTCCTGGGCATCCTCGCATCTTGACACTCCACAAGGAAGGGCGGAACGAAGGGCAGGGAAGGGCGTGGGAGTCGAGGGGGATAGGGGGGAGACAAAAAGAGACCGTTGGAATCGAGTGAGAATGTTGAGGTGAAAAAGAGAAGAGAGATATAAAGTGAATATTTAAGAGGAAGAAAAATGAACAAAAAGAAGCGATCTAAAGAAAAAAGAGGCGAAGAAGAAGAGAAATGACAGAGGTGAGAGAGGGAGAGGGAGAGGGAGTGGGAGTGAGGTCAGAGCTGCTCCCATATGACCATCTTGTCTTATCACGCCCTTATATGGCACCGCGCCTGCCTCTGCCCCTTCGCCGGGGACAAAAGGAGGGGCAGGAGAAGGAACAGGGCTTTTGATTGACAGGTGGAACATCTGGCGTACATAATGGCGACTCCAGGAAGAAGAGAAACGTTATATTATATACTGTAAAAGGAGACAGACACACACAGACACACACAGACACACACAGACACACACAGACACACACAGACACACACACACAGACACAGACACACACACACAGACACACACACAGACACACACACAGACACACACACAGACACACACACACACACAGGTGGAATGAGGAGGTGGGAGAAGTGGAAAAAGAGGATGGAGAGAGAAGAAAGTGAGATGATAGGAAAAGGAGAGGAGAAAGGAAAAGAAAAGAGGGTGAGAGAGGGAAAGGAAAAAGAGGGTGAGAGAGGGAAAGGAAAAAGAGGGCGAGAGAAGGAAAGGAAAAAGAGGGCGAGAGAAGGAAAGGAAAAAGAGGGCGAGAGAAGGAAAGGAAAAAGAGGGTGAGAGAAGGAAAGGAGAAAGAGGGTGAGAGAAGGAAAGGAGAAAGAGGGCGAGAGAAGGAAAGGAGAAAGAGGGCGAGAGAAGGAAAGGAAATAGAGGGCGAGAGAAGGAAAGGAGAAAGAGGGCGAGAGAAGGAAAGGAAATAGAGGGCGAGAGAAGGAAAGGAGAAAGAGGGTGAGAGAAGGAAAGGAGAAAGAGGGCGAGAGAAGGAAAGGAAATAGAGGGTGAGAGAAGGAAAGGAGAAAGGGGGCGAGAAGGAAAGGAGAAAGAGGGTGAGAGAAGGAAAGGAGAAAGAGGGTGAGAGAAGGAAAGGAGAAAGAGGGTGAGAGAAGGAAAGGAGAAAGAGGGTGAGAGAAGGAAAGGAAAAAGAGGGTGAGAGAGGGAAAGGAAATAGAGGGCGAGAGAAGGAAAGGAAATAGAGGGTGAGAGAAGGAAAGGAGAAAGGGGGCGAGAAGGAAAGGAGAAAGAGGGTGAGAGAAGGAAAGGAGAAAGAGGGTGAGAGAAGGAAAGGAGAAAGAGGGCGAGAGAAGGAAAGGAGAAAGAGGGTGAGAGAAGGAAAGGAAAAAGAGGGTGAGAGAGGGAAAGGAAAAAGAGGGTGAGAGAGGGAAAGGAGAAAGAGGGTGAGAGAAGGAAAGGAAAAGAGAAAAAGGAGAGAGGGAAAAGGAGAGAGGGAAAAGAAGAGAGAGGGAAAAGAAGAGAGAGGGAAAAGAAGAGAGAGGGAAAAGAAGAGAGAGGGAAAAGAAGAGAGAGGGAAAAGAAGAGAGAGGGAAAAGGAGAGAAGGGAAGGACCAGAGACAATGCGAGAAGGATCCCGGGAACAGGGAAAGTGAGACGCGAACAAAGAAACCGCTGTTTACCCCGTTTTGTTTACGGGGCGTCGAGGCGGTCGGAGGAAGCTGTTAAAAGCGACGAATCCCAGGGTGTCAGGAGGGAGGGAGGGAGGGGGGGAGGGGGGAGGGGGTGGTGGTAGTAGGCCTACCCTGAGATCCAATCCAGGAGGCCTAAATCATAAAGGGGGGGAGGGGAAGGAGATGGAATCTCAGGGTGC